GTCAATTAAAAAATAGATAAATGATTTTGAGTGATTTTCCTTGGCCCTTTATTATTCAACAGAAGTTACTTACACTGCTTGCATGTTTATCCAAGACATCTATGCCAAGTTTGAAGGGCCTATAGAGTTCGTGTCTATGAATAATCTGTAGATATCAACTATAGGTGAGAAAAATTTCCAAGAAGTTGAACAAATAGGACTTCAGTATCACCTGTAGTGGAATCTGCTAAGATGTGTTACTATTGATGGTGGAAAATATATACAGCAAGCAGAATGCTTAGTTGGATAAGTTTATAAAGCTTGTAAAAATGGTGTTCTAAACCCTCTTATTATTCATTGTATTACTTATTAGCAGTACTTTGTGGAAAATATTTGAATCTATCTTGTGTTATTGAACCAGTAGCCTCCCTGTGAACTTAGCTCTTATAGACTTAATCATTTTCACTTCCATGAATTTCTGACAGCTATAGAAGGTGACTCTTGATTTTCCGTACCACACACCACACAGCAGATTTATGGCTTAGCAGTGGTAAAGTTGTTTTGTGACTTTTTTAAACCCAGGGCTAAGATTAAATTATTTTGAATGAGAAGAACTGTTACTGTTGAACACTGAATGACTTTGAATATTACCTTTTGCTGCAGAGTCGATGATGTTTCTTAATGCATTCAAATTAAAATTACAAGGAAAAACAATGCTTATATATGAAATGATCTATTGTAGTGTCATTTGACAACAAATGTTGTTTGATTCACAAGTAACATCAATGTGCTTTATAAGCTTTGTATGCTGTCAAAAACTAAAAAATGAGATCTCTCTTTTGACACAAATTTGCAGCAGATTTCTGAACTCAGACTACAGTTTGAGCACCATTTTTTGAACTTTGATACACGTGCAGAAGAAATTTTCATATTTCAGTATTTATTTAACTGCAGTTGGGGAGCTTCCACCTAATCTTCAATTGGAAGTGATTAATCTGCAGTGTAATGGCATGGTAAAGACAAATATCAAGAAAAGAATCTAATAGAAATCTCTAAATGTTTTTTGAGTGATAAATATACTCAGTTAAAATCATATGTTTATAGACTTATATCAGTATTTGCCAGTACCTATTTGTGTGAAAAGACATTTTCAAAGATGAAGTAAATAAAATGCCACTAAAAATCTGTATTAATAGATGAACAGCAAAATGTTATCCCCCTAAAAGAGAATTTCATTGTTCTCATTAGTACACCTTATTAGCCCCCCCACAAAAAAATTGGACTCAATTTTTATTATATTTTGAATTTTGTCATTAAGTTTTTTGTAGAAAAATCATACTATCCTTAATTTTGTCTCTTGACTCACAAAGCCTGAAATATTTACCATTTATTTGGCCTTTTACAGAAAAAGTTTGCCAATGCTTGATATAGATGCATAGTTTATTTGACCGGTCCCCACGTGATAGACATTTAACCTGTGTGTAGTCTTTTGTTATTATACAAATAGCACTGCATCAAATACTTTGTGCATTTGTCACTTCTTTTATTTTGCATAAGTCATTTGTATGGATTTCTTAAGTGGAATTTTTGGGTGAAATGGTAAATGCATATATAAATTTCCTTGGCCGGCCCGGTGGCGCACTGTGATAGTGCGCCGCTTGGGAAGCGCGGTGGCACTCCCGCCAAGGGTTCGGATCCCACATACAGACCGGTTCCCGCTCACTGGCTGAGCGAGGCGCGGGAGCAACACCAAGGGTTGCGATCCCGTTGCCGGTCCCGGTCCGGTCCGGGGGCGACACTGAGGGTTGCGATCCGTTGCCGGACACGGAAAAAGACAAAAAAATAAAAAATAAAAAATAAAAATAAAAATAAATAAATAAAAATAAATTTCCTAGATTTTCTCAGTAGGGTTTGTACCCTTCTGCATTACTGCTGCCAATGAGAGTGTTTATTTCCCTTTCACCCCAGTTAGCGTGTGATGGGTTTTGCCGTTCTGATAGGTGAGACATGAAATCTTAGTATAGTTTTAATTTGTATTTCTCTTACTTTGAGTGATGTTGAGCATATTTTCATATGTTTAATGGCTGTTTGCCATTTTCATATCTCTGCCTTTTTGTTGTCTTTTTCTTCTCTGTTTTTAAAAACTACATATTAGGGGGCCGGCCTGGTGGCGCACTGCTACAGTGCGCCGCTTGGAAAGCGCGGTAGTGCTCCTGCCGAGGGTTCGGATCCCACATACAGACCGGCCGCTCACTGGCTGAGCGAGGTGCGGGAGCAACACCGAGGATTGCGATCCCGTTGCCGGTCCTGGTCCGGTACGGGCGCGACACTGAGGGTTGCGATCCGTTGCCGGTCACGAAAAAAGACAAAAAGGAAAAAAAAAAAAAACCCTACATATTAGGGATATTAGTGTGTTGTCTTTTTCTTGTCTGTTTTTTGAAACTCTTTACATATTAGGTATATTAACATTTCCTTACATAAACTTGGAAAAAATGTTTGAAACTTATCATTTGTCCTTATTTTTGGTGTCTTTTTCCATAGTCCTTCCTCTCAATTTTTTATATTGACAAGTGTATCATTCGTTTTCTTTACTGCTTTGGATATAAATCGTAATTAGGAAAGTTTCCTCATTCCCTGGTTACAGAGAAACTTACTCGTATTTCCTTCTAGTAATTGTATGGTTTCATAATTTATATTTGTATATCTGACACATGTAATTCTGGTGTTCAGTTTAAGGAAAAGGTATAATTTAATTTAATTTTTTCCGACATGGCTATTGGGTTCTCTCAACAACACTTATTTTTATCAAATTAATCTTTTCCCCCGTTGATTGAGATGCCTCTTTTAGCCATCTAGCAGTAATGTTTATGTAAGATATGTGATAGGGATATAACTTTATTTCCAAATGGATTATCAGTTTTCTCAACAACGTTTATTTCTTCTCCTTTAATTGTGTGTGAAACTCCAAGATTCACATGTACAGGTTTGTTTCTAGACTCTCTTTTAGATTATTGATTTACTTATCCTGTTTGTTTTGGTATTTTACTCTTGTGATGGCAGTCATGTGCTATCTTTTGGTATTTGGCAGGGCAAATGTTTCAGTTCTCTTGTTATTTCTTATCTCTCTGATTTTCTGGAAGTTGCTATCCTTATGAATTCTGTTTCTGTCAACTTTAATATTTTTATGTATCGTAGTCTTATGTATACTGTTTATCCAGTAAATATTTGTGGAAGTGAAATAATTTTTAGGGGTTGTATAGTAGAGGAGTATTCTTTTAGTTCAACAAATATTTATGAATATTAACTGTAGGAGGTAGGGAATAAGAGGTGGAGAGATGATAGGAAGATGAATGGGACACATTGTGCCTGCCTGTCTAGGAAAGAGAGAGATAAAAAACTGAAAATATTCTATAGTAAATGCTACAGGGTATTTGGGGGCATGAAGGGAGAGTGACCAACTCTTCCTAATACAGTTAAAATTTTATAAACATAACATTTAATTTAAATCTTGAAAGATTATGAGTGGGAATTTGTTAGGCAGATAAGAGAAGATGCAAATCATGGAACTAGTTAGAAAATTTTAATGTAAAGTAATTCTTGTAATAAGGGTACTAAAACTTGATAATTCAGAATTCTTTAAAAAGGTCTTAAGCAACACCGAAGTTTAAAAAAAGAATTTTTTTTTTTTACAGGTTGTTTAATTGAATATTAACACTTATGTGGCATTTAGTTCAACCTACTCTAGGGATGAGAGATTAAGTGGCTTTTCTATGGTCACATATTCTTGGAAGAACTGTAATTGAGACTCTTTGTTCCAGGGAGCTTCTAGAGCAGGGAAATTGGTAAAAGTATATGGGTCACTTTGGGGTGTATATTACAAGTGGAATACAGATTAACAATTTATACCTTTTTATTAGAGTGTAGTGTTAATTTAGGGAGGTGCAAAAGACATGTAAGTGTGTTTTAGTTACAAAGACATTTTGGAGCGAGAATTCAAATTGGTTCAGTTATTTCACTAAAAATGAGACCTGCTTAAAAAATTTATATAAAGGGCGTGGAAGAATTGAACAGAGCTTTTTTTTTTTCCCTCAGAAGTATAATGAAATCATTTTTGGAGTTTTTTTAAATTGCTGAATTTAAGCACGTTAAAAGAAAATAGCTAACACTTATTGTAGTGCTTACTATGTCAGAGTACTATTCTATGAATACATTTATTAAATCATTTAAACCTCACAACAATTCTATGAAGTAGATTATTTTTTCACTTTACAGATTAGGGAAATGGGACTACCCAAATTCACAGCTTGTAAATAGTGTTGCTGGGATTCATATCCAGGCAGTGTCATTCCAGAACTCAGTTTCTGAAGCTTCTCAATTATGACCACCATTTTAAAAATTGGGTAATCTGATGCAGAGAAATTGATAGCAGAACCACCAGGGAATGTACTAGTTACCTGTATGTCTACTTATCTAATGAAGCAGATTTGATATTTTAATGTGAATCAGGTGAATCAGGTTTATGGGGAAACATGTTTATATTGAATGCATTACTTTCTCCTACTGCATTTTTCTTTAGAATGTAAGAATTGTGTATTTATTTTATTCAAAGGTCATTAATAGGTGGGAGTCTTGCTGTTAGAAATATACTATTGGTAAATCTTGGTTTATTGTGTATTTTTTAACAGTCTCTGTGCTATATTATCTCCTCTGCCAATGGGCTAACTGCATCAGAGTTAGATAAATCTTTAAGTACTGATGTAGAAAGTCCCCCAAGATAGAAAGATTTATCTAATGTTTAAAAGTGCTGTGTAGTAGGCATTTATTTATTTATTTATTTTAGTGCCTCAGGTGATTGTGATGATAAGCCAGGGTTAGGAACTACTGCAACCACACTACCTTTTCAGTGAAATTCTAGGCCTGAGATAATCTTGTAGATGCTATCAGTAAATGATCTTAAACTAATTGTTCTTAGCAGCTTTTGCCTTTCCTGAGTTTCTTCTTTTCTTATTTCTCTACAGTAGTTTATGCCAACGTGGCTTCATTCATACAGATGAACCAAGGATTGGGATAGCAGTATAAAATTAGGATTCAGACAGCTGACTGCCCGACAGGATGCCATCAACTAACAAAGCGGGCAGCCTGAAGGACCCTGAAATTGCAGAGCTCTTCTTCAAAGAAGATCCAGAGAAGCTCTTCACAGATCTCAGAGAAATTGGCCATGGAAGCTTTGGAGCCGTATATTTTGTAAGTGTTTAAGGCCTGATATCTGACCATCATTTACCTAATGCCAATTCCTAGCAGAGTGAAAAACAATAATATAAAGGGATATAGACCATAGTCCATTTTATAGTCACTTACTTAGCAGTGTGTATAAAAGATCCAAATATGAAAATAGTTTTATTTTTTGAGCTTCTTGGACTATTGAACAGATGAAAAAGAATATTATTTTGCTTTAACTTATGTCTTGTTTCGAATTTCTATCAAACTGTTTTTAGGGATCCTTTGGCTTGCATTGCTGTAGAATTAAATATTGCAGAACATGGACTTTTCTGTAAAGTCTCATGCAGAATCAATCTTAGTCTTGTGGAAATCTAGGATTATTATTTAATAGATATACCAAAGTCTGATTTCTTTTATATATATATATTTGTGTTTGTGTATGCGTGCAAAAAAAAAAATCATCAAATTTGCCATTTTAATCATTTTTAAGTATACAATTTGTGGCATTAATTACATTTACAGTGTTGTACAGCCATTACCACTAGCTGCTTCTAAATCGTTTTTGTCACCCCAAATAGAAACTGTGTATCCATTAGCAATAACTCCCCATTTCACCCTCCATCCAGCCTATGATTTTGTTTATTCTAGATATTTCATAGAAATGGAATCATACAATCTTTGTCTATTTGTGTCTAGTTTATATCACTCAGCATCATGTTTTCGAGCTTCGTCTATATTGCAGTAGGTAACAGAACTTCATTCCTTTTTATAGCTGAATAACACTCCATTGTATATATAAACCATGGTTTATCCATTCATCTGTTGATGGACACTTGGGTTATTTCCACCTTTGGCTATCATGAATGATGCTGCAGTGCACATTGATGTATAAGTATCTGGTTGAGTTCAGGTTTTCAATTTTGAATGTGTACCTAGTAGTGGAATTGGAAGTTCCTATGGTGATTCTATGTTTAACTTTTTGAGGAACTGCCAAACTGTACCACCACGGCTGCACCATTTCCATTCCCACTGGCAATGTAGGAGTATTCCAATTTCTCCATGTCCTCAACAACACCTGTCATTTCTATTATTTTGATAATAACCATCCTACTAGGTGTGAAGTGCTGTCTCATTGTGGTTTTTTGATTGAATTTCCCTAATGACTGATGTTGAGCATCTTTTCATGTGCCATTTGTGTATCTTCTTTAGAGAAATGTCTTTTTAAGTTCTTTGCCCTTTTTAAAATTTGGGTTACTTGTCTGTTGTTGAGTTATAGGGGTTCCTCATATATTCAGGATATCAAATTCTTATCAGATACATGATTTTTAAATGTTTTCTCCCTTTCTGTAGTTTATCTTTTTACTTTCTTTTTTTTGTCTTTTTTCGTGACCGGCAACGGATCGCAACCCTCAGTGTCGCGCCCGTACCGGACCGGGACGAGCAATGGGATCGCAACCCACGGTGTTGCTCCCACACCTCGCTCAGCCAGTGAGCGGCCGGTCCGCATATGGGATCCGAACCCTCAGCGGGAGCGCCGCTGCGCTTCCCAAGCGGCGCACTGTAGCAGTGCGCCACCGGGCCGGCCCAATCTTTTTACTTTCTTGATAATGTCCTTTAATATACAGAAATTTTTAATTTTGATGAAGTCCAATTTATCTGTTTTTCTTTTCTTACTTTTGTTTATCTGTTTTTTGCTTTTGGTGTCATGTCTAAAAATCCATTGCCAAATACAAGGTCATGAAGATTTATCCCTATGTTTTCTTGTAAGAATTTTACCTCTTATATTTAGGTTATTGATCCATTTTGAGTTAATTTTTGTGTATGATGTGAGGTAGAGGTCCAACTTTATTTTTTTGCATGTGGAAATCCAGTTGTCCCGGTACCATCCATTAAAGAAACTTTTTTTCCCCCCATTGAATTGTTTTTTGGCATCCTTATCAAATCGGTTGGCCATATTGTATGGGTTTGTTTCTGAACTCTCAGTTCTATTCCATTTGTCTATATTGTCTGTTTTTATGTCAGTGTACCAAACTATTTTGATTTCTGTAGCTTTGTAGTAAGTTTGAGATCAGGAAGTTTTATTCCTCCAACTTTGTTATTCTTTTTTTTCCCCCTGGTGTGGGGATCCAAATCCTTGACTTTGGTGTTACAAAGCTGTGCTCTAACCAACTGAGCTAACAGCCAGCCCCTGTTATTCTTTTTTAAAGATTGTTTCAGGGCCCCTTGAAATTCTATATGAATTTGAAGATTGGCTTTTTCATTTGTGCAAAAAAGACTGTTGCAATTTTGATAGGGATTGCATTGACTCTTTAGGTTGCTTTTGGTGTTATAGGCATCTTAATATTATCTTCTAGTCTGTGAACACAGGCTGTCTTTCTAAACGTTTATTTAGGTCTTCTTTAATTTCTTTTAGCAATATTTTGCAGTTTTCAGTGTACAAATGTTTCACTTCCAGTAAGTTTATTCTTAGGTATTTTATTCTTTTAGATACTATTGTAAGTGGAATTATGTTTTAAATTTTCTTTTTGAATTGTTCATTGCTGGTATTTAGAACCACAACTGATTTTTGAGTGTTGATCTTGTACCCTGCAACCTTACTGAATTTATTTGCTCTAGTATCTTTCTTGTGGATTCTTTGGAATTCTTATATATAGGATCATATCATTTGCAGATGGATAATTTTCCTTTTTCCTTTCCAATTTATATGCCCTGTATTTATTTGTTTATTTTCCTTTCTTAATTGCTCTGGCTAGAACTTCTGGTACAGTATTGAGTAGCAGTGGTGAAAGTGAGCATCTTGTCTTGTTCCTGATCTTAGGGAGGAAGCTTTTTCAGTTTTTTACCGTTGAGTTATGATGTTAGTGCTTGGTTTTTCATAAATGCTCTTTATCACATTGGGGAAGTTCCTTCTATTCCTTGTTTTTTTTAGTGTTTTTATCTTGAAAGGGTGTTAGATTCTATCAAATGCCTTTTCTGCATCAAGCTGATCATGGGTTTTTCCCCCTTTATTCTATTAATGTGGTATATTACTTTGATTGATTTTGTTAGTTGAACCACCTTTGCATTTCTGGGATAAATCTCACTTCATCATAGTTTATGATTCTTTCAATATGCTGTTGGTTTTGGTTTGCTAGTATGGTATTGAGGACTTTTAATTCTGTATTCATAAGAGATACTGGCCTATAATTTTCTTGTCATGTCTTTATCTGGTGTTGGCAACAGGGTAATACTCGTATTGTCTCCGTAGAATTAGTCAAGAAGTGTTCCTTTCTCTTGTTTTTGAAGGATCATTGTTAATTCTTTAAATATCTGGTAGAATTCACCAGAGAAGCCATTTGGCTCTGGACTTTTCTTTCTTAGGAAGTTTTTGATTATAGATTTAATGTCTTTACTTGTTACAGGTTGTTGAGATTTTCTAATTTGTTGAGTTAGTTTAGGTCATTTGTGCATTTCTAGGAATTTGTTTATTTCATTTAGGTTGTCTAACTATAGGCATACAGCTGTTTATGGTACAGTTATACAGTGCTTAATGACAGGAGTGCATTCTGAGAAGTACATTGTTAGGTAATTTCGTAGTTGTGTGAACATCATAGACAATACTTACACAAACCTAGACGATACGGCCTTTTTCACACCTAGGCTATGTGATATAGCCTGTTGCTCCAACCACCATTGTATATGCAGTCTGTTGTTGACTGAAATGACATTATATAATCCTTTTTATTTCTGTAATGTTCCCATTCTTGTATGATTTTGGTTCTTTGCATCTTCTTTTTTGGTTCTTTGTCAGTGTAGCTAAGTCTGTTTTCTTTTGAACCTTAACTATAATTCTATTTTGAGGTTTTTCAGTAAAAGACTCTTAGTAAACTTGGCTTATTCCTATAAAGATGTATTTGTCACCTTTAACTTTAAAAATGGAAAAGCACAAAGGAAAGAAATCATTACTTATAATTATCTTTTCTTCAGATAACCACTGATAATATTTTATTTTTATCTTTTGAGACTTTGAGACAATATGCATATACTAGGGTGACCTGTCATCCCAGATTTTGCAGGACTTGCCCAGTTCTAGCAATGAAAGTCACATGTCTTAGAAATCCCTTAGTCCAGTACAGACTGACACAGTTGGTCACCCTATGTATATCTGTAACACATAATAATTATATATACATTCTGTCATTTGCCATTTGTCATTTATTTTCTAAAACATAAAAAAAAGGTGTCTATTTGTTTAATGCATTTTGCAGCATTGCTTAATTTTCATATTATGGTAATAAGTATTCATGTACAACATTTAGTTGCTATATCAGTTTTCATCATATATGTGTTTGGTATACCATAATTTGCTTTATCATTCCATATGATTAGATATTAGGCTGTTCCTACTCTTTTTTGCTATTAAAAATAATGCTGTGATGAACACCATTTTATTTCCTCTTTATAGACATTTTTGCCAATTTGGAGAAGAAAAGGAGAATAAGGCTATGTGAGAATGGCCTAGAAAATAATGAAAAAGAATATTAAACAGGAGACTATTGAAGAAAGCCTTGAATTATCAAATTAAAAACTACAACACAGTAATGGAAGTCATGTGACATTAGTGCCCAAGTTGGCAAAGAGAAGAGTGAAACAAAATAGAACCAGGAACAGTACAATATTATAAAGAGGCTTTTTTCAGAAAATATTTTATGATATGTCTGTTTGGTAGTTTGTTGTATAGGTGTGTACAGACATACACAGATTGAGAGAGAGATTCATTTTAAGGAACTGGCTCACATAGTTGTGGAGGCTGGGAAGTTCAAAATTTGTGGAGTGGACCAGCAATCTGGAGACCCAGAAAAGAGTTGTGGTTTTAGTCCAAAGATAATCTGCTGCCAGAATTCTCTCTCCCTTGGGGTAGATGAGTCATTTTCTTAAGGCCTTCGACTGATTGGATGAGGCCTACAGCATTATAGATGGCTTTACTTTAGATGGCTTTACTTAGAGTATGCTTTACTTAGGGTTAGGGTTAGGGTCCAAAAAAT